GCGTTTTTCGGCAACCGCTCGCTTCAATTTGATGTATTGTTGTCGGTAGCGTTCCCCATAAATGGTTTCTCCCGGCCTTAGAAGCTCATAATAAAGCACGCCCTTCTGATCCCACCAAATACAGTTCATTACCATGGTGACATGGATTTTCGGTTTTGCTGTTGATTAGGCTGTGTTCAGAGTTGTCGAAAAGGATCCATTTTTTATCACCAGTCACAATCCGATGTATAAATCGACTTCTTTTTGTAGCGTTCAAGCAGCATTTCTAGCATGCAAAATCGTCATTCAACGTTTCCCGCAAAAACACTTTTTCAACCACAAAGTTCGACATATTTCTGTGAAAAAATTATTGTTGTTCACATCCAGATTATGAAAATACACCGTAGAATATAGCCAATGCGGAAGCAATTGAACCACAGTTCACGGAATTCTGTCATCGTTTTCATTGATTTATATATCGTCTTTTTTGAAACGGTACTTTCTGCCGTTTACACCAATTCGACCTTCAAACATTTCAGAAACGCTGGATAACTAAAAAAAAGCATTTCACGTGCATCACAAAATACAAACGTCATCAATTTACCAGTTGACTCTTCAAAGCTTTGGATTCGGCTACCGTCGTGTATTCTGCTCGGTAGACAGATATATAACGAAATTAGCTTAGAAATATATGCAAGTGTCTTTTGAAGGTTAGTTTATATACGAACGTTTCAGCCTCTCTGATATCTCTTTACAAATAACTGGGAATTTAAAAATTTTTTTGGTTAACCAGTGTAAGTTCAATTCACTGCCTCACCGTCTTCTGAAGTGAAGATATCTATGTAAATAGACTAGCTGTTAGCAATTTTCTCACTCTATCCAAAGCTTATTTATGTTCTTAAGAAACCCACAAGCACTTTACTCAGTTATTTATAATTAAAGTATTCGTATGCACCTTTTAGAAATTTTAAACATATTATCCATTAAATAAAGTACTAAAAAATTTTACACAGATTTTCGGGAAACCAAGTGATGGTGAGCAGACTTATTAAAAATATTTAAACATACAATATTAAGTCTGTCGCGCAATTTCTGGTGAGCCACTGACAGGAGTACGTATATTACCATATTGCTCATGAATATTTAATCGTCTTCAATGCGTTCCTTCAAATCACTTTCGATTACCCAACAACGGCTCTTTCCATCGCCCTTTTTAGCCATTAAAAATAAAAGGGCAATAGCCTTTCAAATTTTTATTGCATACACACAGGCGTTCAACATCACGCTCCAAGTGAGCCCGGAAACAATCATGCCGTTTATGTGGTTTGCACCCTCCTCCTTTTCCTCTTCTCATTTTCTCTCTAACCGAGCGAATACTGGGCATTTGCCTGCAGTAACAATTTCCAACCAGCATTACAGTTAGTTAGCATGTTGGCTATTGAAATCAGGTCGTGCAGTCTCGCCTTTAGTCGCGGCTGTGACAAGGCAAATGGTTTGGCTGCTTTACTGTATGTTGCACTCCCCACTCAGCTTCGCCGCCTTTTGGCCGCAGTTTTCCAATTTTTATTGCACCGCATCAAATCGAATTGTTATGGTTACGCTGAGGCTATGAAATTCCACTCAATTGAAATGTTGTGCTACCGCAATGGGGGACTTTATTAAAATTCCATGCGAATCTCTTTGCGCGAAAACAATAACAAAGCGGTACCGCATACTTCGTCCCAATTTCGATATGATAAAGTATATGTAGGTAGGAGTATAAACATTTGTTGGCAATATATGGGGCTCATAACGAGCTCTTTCAGGAAGGTCATAAGTAATCTAAAGAAATGTGAAATGAAATATTTTATCCAATCGGTATAAAGCGTCAATCTGGATAGGCATAGCAGGTACTGAAAGTTCAGAGCCTAGTTTCCTTAATAGAGAAAATACCAACGCCAGTTCTACACATAACCCCTACAGACGTCTATAGTATAAGAACGACGAATTCTCTTAAAATGTTAAGAAATTTTGAAATATTGGGGCGGGCCTAATAGATCCAATAGGTAAATAGGGTCACCGAGGATGCAGAGCAGGCGCTCGAAATTTCGGAAATTAGTTTCCCTTGAGAAAGAAAACAGCAACGCCACTTTAAGACTTGGCCGATAGTCTGTCTATAGTATAGGAACGTTCTTATTTAATAACCTTGAATTGGAATTCTTCCTGGTCATTTTTTTTGTTGTTAAGATAATGACTTAGTCAAAAGTTCATTACCGGTAGATGAAATGTTAAAGTTATATCCAACACTGCTCATAACTATTAGTTTTCCAAACGATTATTACCTTTTAAAATCTAAAATGGGAATATAATTTTTTCCTAACGGTAAATATTTCCACACACTAGCCAATACCACGGTTTCCAAAGAGGTTCTATTCCAGGAATTAGTTACACCTATTGGATAATTTTATCCTGTAGTATTTTGGTCAGGCGTACGCGTTGAAATCTTAATTGTCTGCCATAGAAGTATCCAATAATAATTGCTGCTTTAAAGCTAACGATAACATATAAAAGTTCTCCTCAGCTAAAACAGGAAAATCGTGTACTCTTTTTAGGAAAGTATTTTAGAATGCTGTTATCAGAAAACTTCACTTCGACAATTATAATCGTGCCAATTGTGATGTCAAGAAATTCCTTAACGGGTTAGGGGTAGTCAAAATTTTCAAAAAATCAATTTGTTAAGTGTTATATCTTGAAAATATTCTCTGAAAATTTCAAGTTGATCCGCTCGGGAGCAGGTAGCTAGCGGCAGCTGGGAGAAACTTGAAGTGCGTTTATCAAAACTATGTTTTACGAACTGTTGGCATCTGTAACTCGAAAATTGCTTAGTAGATTTTAATGAAATTTATACAGCTTTTAGAATACGTAATAAACTCGGACCTGGTCGAGAGATTTTTTTTTCAAAAATTTCGATTTTTTAAGACCAATTGTTGGTTTTTTCACAAAAATCAAGAAAAAAATTTCCTGAGGTCGCCATTTTGTTAATTTTTGAAAAAAAAGCTTCGATCAGGCCCAGGATTATCTATTTATAAAACTAATTTTTTTATCCGATTGATTTTAACTGAATCACCAAGGACTTATGATTGTCACCGCAAGGACCTTTAATGGAACTGGGTCAACAGCCCTCAGCTATAACTTTAAAAACTTTTTTTTTTTTTTTTTAATTTTCGTGACTTCAAGTCAAAACTTTGTATAATAATGCCATATTACTACTTTTATAAAATAACATGATTTGTAGCAAAAAAGCTAGGGTACCTTAGGGTAGTTTAAGTCCCAGCCCATTACAAATATGGTGATTGGACTGATTTTGATTTTAGATAATTGTCTTAGATGGCGAAGGGAATGAGAACTAACACCATATTTCTCTGTTGTTGTTTCAGCAGAGTGGTCGGGTGAATTTCAGGTCAGTTTTGGAACCGCAGAATTAATTGTTGTAGTGGCGTGAAACGACTTCTAAAACTGGACGACCAAGAAGGAAAAATAGAGAAGATTTTACACAATTAAAATCTACTAGAACTTTGAATTTTACCGCATGAGTGAAAATAGAGAGACATAGAGAAATTATTCTAATTAGTATATGTTCAATTCAATTCAGCCTTCGTCAGAAAGAAGTACCGTCCGCGTAAATACACTTAAAGAAACCTAAGCTTGTTGAACTCATTTCAGCCATTCCGTCAGCTCAACCAGCCGAAACTTTATTTAAGGAACAGTTCACGACAGTAGGCTCTCCTACCAACGGCTTGACAATACAAGGTCATTGGGGGGTTATATCCACTTGTAAGTTAGAAAAAATGCGGTGTTTATTTAATAAATAAATCGAAAAACTTAAGTATTTTAGAAATCGGTTAAACATTTTGAAAAATTTTGGATTCCCTTGATCGGTGTTTGGCAATGGGGAAATTTTGGAAAATTTTCTTAAATGTGTATGTGCACATTCGATATGTATGGAAAAAATCGATTAACAAGTGGATATAACCCCTTAAATATAATATTATATTCGTGACTAAAGTTCCGCAGAGCTTATGAGTCGTAGTTTTCACATGCAATTAATGCTGGTTTGATTTCAAGATTGAGCCTATTGCAAAGAAGAAACAAAAAGGGTAATGCAGTCGTCTAGCTGAGGGCACAGGTCATCAAATTGAAATTTAAATTTAACGTCCGTTAATATTTTGCAGTTATAAGCATTAGAACACTGCGAACTTCTACCCTTTAAAAGTCACTAGTTGAGTTTGTTGATAAGTCGAAAAGAAAATATTGGGTCTTTGAAAGAATATCTCTAGTTTATATTAAACCTACTTACCTTATATGGTAACGCTGAACTACAAGCCCACTCTCTACAGATGCTTTTATCAATATTATTATACCCTGAACAGAGAATATTAAGTTTACCACCAAGTTTGTAACACCCTTACAAGTGCCTCAGTTTTGGAGATATCGAGGAAGCTGCTCATACGTCGGAACCCCCGACATCGGACCAATATAGGATATTGCAGCCATATAAACTGATCGATAAAAATCAAGTCCTTGTATGGAAAAATATTTTCACGAAATTTGGCATAGATTGTTATCCTAGACAGAGCTAAAATCTCCGAACATATTGTTCAGATGGCACTACTATTCAACTTAAAGGTTGCTTATATCAAAATGTTGACTTCAAATTTAGTTATACAGAACTATACTTGCTATAAGAAATGCACCAATGAAGGACATTATACCTTCGGTACAGCCGAAGTTAACGTTTGTTCTAGTTTTTATAATCCCGGATGCAAATACGTGTACCAGAAACACGTTTTTTACCGATCCAAACAGGGTTAGATCTCCGAAATAAAAGGCATTGGCCTAATAAAATCCGGAAGAATTCCGGTAACATAGAAGCGGGTATGCTTATAGAACTACCAACTACCCATTGTTGTAGAACTTTTACATCGCTTATTTTAAAAATTACGAATTTATATTCTAATAAACTAAATAAAAAATACATTCCGTTCAGTTACCTCACTTTATTTAAGGCCAAGTTTAAATTTTACAATTAAAATTTTTAAACAAATTATATATGCCAAGTACCTAATTTTAGACTAATATTCTTAATAGATTTCATATACATTACTGAGATGTTTGGAAAATTTTTTGTGATTACACAACGATATGCAATGAAAAATTGTATATAACATAGTTGTATTTGTAATTTGTGATGAAATCAAAATAGCATATACACATACTTCAATTATGCACTGAAGTATTTCGATTACATACAATAATTAGCCAATTATTTAAAATATTAAAATAAAAATACATATGTAGATATAGAACAATAAGAATCGTTTAATAAAGTATAGAAGCGTGCTTATAGTTAATATTCTTTTTTGTTTTTCTTCATGCTTTAAAATAGTGCTGTTGTTGGTGAAGAATTTCATAGTATTTGTATATGTACTTAATTTTCGAATATTCAAGTGTATAAGGTTATTTAAAAAAGAACAAAAAAATTTTGTATGTAAAAAGGAAGGCTTATTTAGAAGTAGCAGTTCGCAAGTTAACGAAAAGCTAATGAACAAAAGAATTCGTTTCAAATATTGTATTATGTTACTAAGTAATATATTTTGCATATGCGCACTAAATCGTTTTGAGTAAGAGCTATAAAATAATAAAAAAAAATAATAATAACCGGTTAAAAAACAAAAAGATATAAAAAAAAAACAAACGTCTGCACTACAGTGCTCGGGCATGCAAAACTAAAGTATTTAACTGCTGGACCTAATGATCCACCTATTATATTTTAATATTTTTTTGTAACTGCACCCTGTTTGCTATCGAATTGTAACTGTACTTAGTGTTCGTTAAAAGTCAGTTGGATTAAAATTGCTAATTGCAGTGCATTTACTTGTTCGTTATACGCTCGCTTTTACTGTTTTTTGTTATTGAATGAATATCTTAAATGACGGCTGTGTTTTTATATTATTTTTGCTGTTTTCAATTGCTATTTTGCATATTCTTTCCCCTTTTTTTATATGTTACGTGACAAAGTAAATCAAAACTCGGCAATTCAATCTTTTACTCAATCTCTCTCTCAACAAAAAAAAAAAAATAAGAAGAAAAAACCACATTATTTTTTTCCTGCTCAAATTAAAAGAAATTTTCGCAGTATAACCCTATACAAAAGATAACCACCCAGCGTGCCCCCCACAAAATCTAAGACCGCCTATGCCTACATATATAATTACTGTCACTAACGCCAAACAAGCAACATGCTAATCGCTTAGAAGCTCATGTAGCCACGCGATGTGGAACGACGGCGCGCACACAAGTACGAAATCAATACGATTAGTATGAGTGCGGCCATGGCAATGCCGACAGCAATGGGTACAATATCCATTGTTTTCGGACCATCACAATCCATGGCTGTAGAGAAGGTGGTACGATGGTCCATGATGAATGCCTCGGTTTGTACATTGCTCAGCATAATGGTGCCAATTACTTTGGTATCTTGCATTACCTCAGTCATGTTGAATTTTTGTGCACGTGTGCAATGGTAAGACATTTGTACCGGGGTGACAAATTCATCACCAGTGTGGATTAGTTGGATGGTTTCGTTATCTGCAAGCATATATACATTGGCAACAGTTATTTATAATATATATATATATATATAATATATTAATATAAACGCTTACCCTTAGCATCGGGGAAGTGATCGCTGGTGAGTGGCAAAGTAATGATGATCTGTTTCAACTCGCTAGACTTGTTAACCCTATCGAATTGTAATACCATAGAGTGTATGGCTTCAACTGGTCCCCAAATAATGTGAATGTTTTGTGAAACATTGGCGCAATTGGAGTCTTCGACCTTGGCATCCTTAGGGATATTGTACAAACGGGAAGCAGTTTTGTTGTCTGTAAGCAATTATTACAAATATGTAAATATCTAGTCGTATAGGTTACAGTAATATGAAGGAATTTATAAAAACTGCCTTACCTTTGGTCTCATAGGTAACGTTCAACTGTGCAGCAAAGTGCATAATAATACAGCTCGAATTCCACATGCCAATCTCTGGTGCTGGGTATGGCGCTGGTGCAGGTGTTGTTGTTATTGGCGCTGCAGTGGGTGTCGTTGGTGCCACTGTAGTGGTGGTCGGCGCTGCTGTTGAAGTTGTAGGCGCTGGTGTAGTTGTTGAAGTTGTAGGCGCTGGTGTAGTTGTTGAAGTTGTGCTCGACATAGTGGTAGGTGTGGTAGATTTTGGTTTTTCTACACCTTCAACGACTGGTGTCACTGCTGCTGCAGCAGCAGGCAAATTTGCTTTGTCCAGGCTCACATCGATTTGGGCGGCTATAAACGTAGGAGAAAAATATACATATATTATATATTAAAAACAAATTTAAAAAAAAATGGGTAAATGTATAGTTTAGGTCCCCCAACTAAGGAGGCCTCAAAATTGAAATTTTTTTTTTTAAATATTCTTATTTTTACGCGTAGATTACAAATCCGTGAGCGGAAGTGAATTTTTTCAATATTTCTATTTTTTTTCAATCGCGTCAAACTCATTTCTGCACTGGCGGCCTTCGGCCGCGCTTCAAAAAAATAACCCTGGTCGGTCCAAAACCGGGGTGTTCATAATTCAATCGTGTCAAACTCCTTTCTGCAATGGCGGCCTTCGGCCGCGCTTCAAAAAAATAACCCTGGTCGGTCCAAAATCGGGATGTTCATAATTCAATCGCGTCAAAATCCTTTTCGCTACTGTTTGTGTAGAAAGGAATTTGAATTTGATTTCGTTCATAACATCAAATCGCGGCACAAAAGAAATTTTGACTGTTACATTTCTTCAGTATATTTTTTTCATAAGAAAATGTTTAACACACTGAACTGGTAATTACGGCTAAGTGCTCTGAATTCTACAGAATTTTGCCGCTACAACAACAACAACTAAGTGACTTGAATATGTGATATGTGCAAAGTGTGTAAATAAATATTGAAAAATATACATAAATTATTGAAAAAATTCACTTTCCGCTCACGGATTTGTAATCTACGCATAAAAATAAGACGATTTAAAAAAAACAATTTCACTTTTGAGGCCTCCTTATGTGGGGGACCTAAACTATACATTTACCAAAAAATGATAAAATGAAATAGTAAATATTTTCTTAAAATATTCTTAGCTAATCAAGCAATCACAGCCTTAAACCAAAACGTCTTTAAATTAAATTCCATGTGATGGGCTCAAAAAATCGATTTTTTACATAAAAATCTTTCTTAACATGTCCAGAATGATTTTTTAATTTATTTTAAATTCAAAGCCGTTTTAAAGATACAGCAGCTAGAAAAAGGAGCTTTTCGGATGTTGTTTAAGCGGACTTGAAACTTTAAACGCCTCTTTCTCAAAAATGTGTGTTTTCAAACTTTCCTTCGTCGTATTTCAAAAACGGTTTGACCGAATGACTTAAAATTTGTAGGGTACACTCAACACAATTAAACGCATGGAATGAATTATTATCAATCAAAAATTCCGATATTTTATAGCAAGTCCAATTCCGTACATTTAGGCTTACTGTACACATGTAAACGCATGGAATGAAATATTATCGATCAAAAATTCCGATATTTTATAGCAAGTCCAATTCCGTACATTTAGGCTTACTGATTAAAACGCCTCTATTTTTTTTTTTTTTTTTTGTTTTGGTAAGGCAATCAGCCGGAACGGTGAAGGAAGTGCGAAACCATTTTTCGAGGTGGTGGTGTTCAGAACGCTGTAACTCATGTACTCTACCAAATACTTTTAGCTTCAAATTTATATTTATACTGTCGAAACATATGTTAATAAATGATAATAAACTTAAAAATCTATCTATTTACTGGTCGTAGAAAAAAAAACCCTAAAAACAAGCCGTCACATGGGATGACCCCCTTAAAACGAATTTTAATTTCTCAGCTGAAACAGAGTCACCCATATAAAATCAAAGTAGACAAAATATATGGAAGCGTTTTTATTTCTATAAGTCACCCTGTGTCAGCTGTTTATTAACATATTTTGTTATGGAACAAAAGATAGAACAATATCAAATAAGGGTGTTGCAAACGCGCAAATCTCTTGCAATTTTTTATTTACTACCAATGCCTTTAATTTCTAAAAATATTATATATGTACACTAGGCAGAAAAAGTCTGCGTACAAGGTACCAACAAAAAGAAATCGTTGAAAAATATTTTATTTACTTTTTATAAAAACCATTTATTTGATGTTCATTAAAGGATATCAAATATGTAGTTTTATGAAATTAAAAATTATTAAATTTGTCGGAAAGTCGGATATCCCCAACGTTTTAAAACTTCCGCTATATGTTTTGGCATGAAATATCCTTTAAGGTAATTGTGCATTGGCCGATTTTACATTCCTGTGAATCCCATAGTTACTTTTTAGGATTCAAATAAGTTAATTCTGGTGGTGTTTGAAGCTGCTTGGGAACGGTGTAGATTAACCAAAGTTTAAATATGTCTATGTTGTATGCTTCGGGTCGTTAGAATAACAGTTACATCCAAGACACAATTCTTCCGCTTTTTGTTTCAAATTTATTTTTAATATATTAGGATATGCGACTTGACAATTAAACACTGCCTTTTTTAATTTTGCGAATCGTGTATATGCAGACGGATTTTTTAAAGTTTTCTTAAAATTTTGAGCGATTTTGATTGCAGTAAGTCGAGGGTTTTGCTTCATACTTTTTTTTACATGGTTACGTGTTTCACGCTATGCTAGTATTTTTAAAAGAAAAATCTTTTCAAATCGGTACTCTTGGCTTTTACGCGAAGAATTCCCATTTTATTACTTGTACGCAGACTTTTTCTGCGCTGCGAAATGACAATTTATCAATAAAACTATGGTATCAGATTTTCACTGCTTTAAATTCTATGGGATTTTGCAACAGACTAGTAATAAAACACTTGATGTGATTTTATTCTAAAATTTAGTATATAAAAGATATTTTTGAACAAAAGAAAATGAGACATGAGGTAGCAAAAAATAAATCTGATTTAAAAATCGCATAAAATTTCATATAAAGAATACTTGTGACATTAACTTTTCTAGGACAGACTACCCAAGTTTAGCGAACTTTTAGTATGAAACTTGCAATGAAATGACATTTTATATAAAATGAAGTGAAAATAAAGAAACTGATAGCATATTAATGGTGCTAAGGCTGCAAATTTCAACACATGCACACTTGTTAAGCTCTAAAAATAATTTAGAGTGATTGTATGGCTCAAGTCTTGATTTCCCTGTTGCATATTGTTTATTTTAATAGTTGTCAGTCAATATTATTATCAATTTCTTTGTGTAAAACATTCGCACTTGGTTTTCTTCCACGGAAATCAAGCGAATCCTCATCAACGACTAGTTGTTGGATCAGCGAAAATAAAAAACAGTCACGAAAAAAGCAAACAAATGGAAATAAATAATGATCATGATTCATGGAATGTAAAACGAAACGGCGTTATATGCAGATTATGTAGGTTTGTATGTTTTCAAGTGTGAATTGCTTAGCGCAGAGCTATAGTTGTTTTTGTATATTAAAGTAATTTGAGTCATCAAATAATATAATAATGAGTGTATTTATGCGCATATGTGCACTTGTATGTACATATGCATTATATATGGAATAGATTTCGCTTTTCATTTGTATGAAAGCTGATTAAAAATTAACTTAAAAAATGTATATCAATTTTGTAACACAATATCTAAGAAGAGTGAGAAAATCCAAAATAAAAATTAAAACATATCTACATATGTATGTATGTACATACGTTAAAAAAATTTATAGAAGCGAATAAAAGAAAATTAATACAAAATTCAATTTAATTTGTTATGAGATTGTAGTGATCTCGAAAAAAAAATTAATTCAGAAAACAAAATTTATAAAAAATACTAGATTAATTTATACAAATCATCATTTAAATAAACAATAAAATGTGACAGAGGAAAAATTGTATTTGAATTAAACAAGAAATATGATTTAAACATTAAATATTGTATAAATAAAAAAAACATGTAAGGATGAACTAATTTCGGGTGTAAATCGAAAGTATCGGTCAATCTGTAGGATACGTTATAGCAATTATGCGTTATAGAAACCTTTTATCGATAATATCGTTCAATCTGTGAAATATAATATAGAAATTCGAAGAGAAACCTTTTCTGATAATAATATGCCTGTATGTCCGAAATGGGTTGCATCATATTACCCAAACTACCATAACGAAGGTGCGTTCCAAAGTAAACAGTAAAAAAGTAACAAAGTAAACTCTAGTAGCGCCATCTTATTGTCGACTAGTGCGCTACAATCTGCTATTCTTTATCGACTCCAGTAAAAAATTCATGACTTTTCATCTGTTGGAAGTGAAGTTATTGCGATTTAAGTGTCAGTATGTTTTTGTCATCGGTGCGAAAATGAGCTTCGAACAAAGAACCAACATTAAATTTTGTTTTAAAATTGGTAAAACTTTTACCGAAACGTTTGAATTGATGAAACAAGTTTATGGCGATGATTGCCTATCCCGTAGTTTGTTTTTATGATTCCAAGGGTATTGTCCACAAAGAATTTTTTCCACCCGGCCAATCGATCGACGCTTGTGGCCGATTATTTGACTAAAAATCACATTTCAACAATCAACCACTCCCCGTATTCACCTGATATGGCACCGTGCGACTTCTACCTTTTCGGAAAAATACATTTGCCGACGAAAGGAAAGCGTTATGCAGACGTGGAAGTCATTCAAAAGGCTTGCATCGGCATACTGGCGGCCATACCAGGCAACGAGCTAAAACACTCGTTCGAAATGCTTTTGGACTGTGCAAAAAGCTGTATTAAAGCAGAAGGAGACTATTTTGAATAAAATTAATTGATTTTACCGATAAAACCATTTGTTCTGTCTTTTCTTTAAAAGTCCTGTTTACATTGGAAAGCACCTTGTACTACATAAATTGATTTTCGCTGTTCTAACAAATCTTATGCACCTGAAGATATTTCCCTGGCTTTGATTCTGGCAAGTTGCAGGAGTATAAAATGTTCGGTAACACCCGAACTTAGCCCTTCCTTACTTGTTTTTTATTATATTATTAGTATTACTTATTATTATTAATATTATTTATTATTATTTTTAATATTATTTATAATATAAACATTAAATGAGTAGAAAAAAATGCAAAAAAATAAGCCATTTCACTTCATGACGAAAATGCAGCAGAAGGGCGGAACGTTGTGTAACAGGCAGCCTCGTAGAGATAAGATGTGCAACTGGCTGGTACTGACAATGAAATTGCAGCTAAAATAACAA